CTGAGGCTTGAGGCTGGCCGGGCTGTGTGATTGGCTGAGGCTCGAGGCTGGCCGGGCTGTGAGATTGGCAGGCACTCGGTCTTTCAGTCTGAACCTGCGCATTGAACTTCATTACACTTCACATTCCAACTGCATCTTTTTCTTTCATTTCCTCTTATTTATGGATTTATTTATTTTTAGTCCTTTCCATTGTTTTCATAAGACGCTCCTTTCTCTCGAGTCGTGTTGTTATTATTAATATTATATAAATGTATTATTATTGTTCATTATAAATGATCCAAAATGCCCCATTTCTCCCTAAACTCGTCTCCTTCATTATTCTTCTTCTTTGTGGATCCATTTCCTGGACTTGTTGAAGTGATTCCAGTTTGTGGTTTTGGGGATTGGTTTTTCTCCAGTTTGTGGTCATTAGTTTGAGAGCAGTGAGTGCCATGATCCAGAAGAGCTTTTCCTTTCTTCATTCTATGACTTCATGTTCCCAGTAATAATGTTTCTCCTCAAAGAAGTGGATCTTTCCTTCTCCTTGCTTCATGTTTGTGTTGCCTTCAGTCCAATGGTCTTGGATGTTTGTACATGTGTAAAAACATGTGTTCAGCTTTAGACATTTACAGTCACTTTACTGCACTGCTACATGTCTCTGTCCTTAGTGCACGTGGAGATAGTCCTCATTTTAACACATTTATCAACATTCTTTTATGTCTGCACCTTTTTACTCTTACCACGTGTTTGCACCATGAGCCAAAGCAGATTCCTGGTTTGTCACTTCCTGTTACTTACAATAAAATAATAGTGATTGTGATTGTCTTTGTCGCTGCTCTTCCTCCAACATTCTCCAGGTTTTTGTTCTGTGGCTTTGCTCCTGCAGCCAAAGAGTCTGTGTCTGTTCTGTCACTGGTACCTTTGGTTCAGACCAGTTGTGTCCATGGTTCTGTGTCTGTGCTGTCACTGGTACCTTTGGTTCAGACCAGTTGTGTCCATGGTTCTGTGTCTGTTCTGTCACTGGTACCTTTGGTTCAGACCAGTTGTGTCCATGGTTCTGTGTCTGTTCTGTCACTGGTACCGTTGGTTCAGTCCAGTTGTGGCCATGGTTCTGTGTCTGTTCTGTCACTGGTACCTTTGATTCAGACCAGTTGTGTCCATGGTTCTGTGTCTGTTCTGTCACTGGTACCTTTGGTTCAGACCAGTTGTGTCCATGGTTCTGTGTCTGTTCTGTCACTGGTACCTTTGGTTCAGACCAGTTGTGTCCATGGTTCTGTGTCTGTTCTGTCACTGGAACCTTTGGTTCAGACCAGTTGTGTCCATGGTTCTGTGTCTGTTCTGTCACTGGTACCTTTGGTTCAGTCCAGTTGTGTCCATGGTTCTGTGTCTGTTCTGTCACTGGTACCTTTGGTTCAGTCCAGTTGTGTCCATGGTTCTGTGTCTGTTCCGTCACTGGTACCTTTGGTTCAGTCCAGTTGTGTCCATGGTTCTGTGTCTGTTCTGTCACTGGTACCTTTGGTTCAGACCAGTTGTGTCCATGGTTCTGTGTCTGTTCTGTCACTGGTACCTTTGGTTCAGACCAGTTGTGTCCATGGTTCTGTGTCTGTTCCGTCACTGGTACCTTTGGTTCAATCCAGTTGTGTCCATGGTTCTGTGTCTGTTCTGTCACTGGTACCTTTGGTTCAGACCAGTTGTGTCCATGGTTCAGTGTCTGTTCTGTCACTGGTACCTTTGGTTCAGACCAGTTGTGTCCATGGTTCTGTGTCTGTTCTGTCACTGGTACCTTTGGTTCAGTCCAGTTGTGTCCATGGTTCTGTGTCTGATCTGTCACTGGTACCTTTGGTTCAGACCAGTTGTGTCCATGGTTCTGTGTCTGTTCTGTCACTGGTACCTTTGGTTCAGACCAGTTGTGTCCATGGTTCTGTGTCTGTTCTGTCACTGGTACCTTTGGTTCAGACCAGTTGTGTCCATGGTTCTGTGTCTTTTCTGTCACTGGTGCCTGTGGTTCAGTCCAGTTGTGTCCATGGTTCTGTGTCTGTTCTGTCACTGGTACCTTTGGTTCAGTCCAGTTGTGTCCATGGTTCTGTGTCTGTTCTGTCACTGGTACCTTTGGTTCAGACCAGTTGTGTCCATGGTTCTGTGTCTGTTCTGTCACTGGTACCTTTGGTTCATTCCAGTTGTGTCCATGGTTCTGTGTCTGTTCTGTCACTGGTACCTTTGGTTCAGTCCAGTTGTGTCCATGGTTCTGTGTCTGTTCTGTCACTGGTACCTTTGGTTCAGACCAGTTGTGTCCATGGTTCTGTGTCTGTTCTGTCACTGGTACCTTTGGTTCAGTCCAGTTGTGTCCATGGTTCTGTGTCTGTTGTGTCACTGGTACCTTTGGTTCAGACCAGTTGTGTCCATGGTTCTGTGTCTGTTCTGTCACTGGTACCTTTGGTTCAGACCAGTTGTGTCCATGGTTCTGTGTCTGTTCCGTCACTGGTACCTTTGGTTCAGTCCAGTTGTGTCCATGGTTCTGTGTCTGTTCCGTCACTGGTACCTTTGGTTCAGTCCAGTTGTGTCCATGGTTCTGTGCCCGTTCTGTCACTGGTACCTTTGGTTCAGACCAGTTGTGTCCATGGTTCTGTGTCTGTTCTGTCACTGGTACCTTTGGTTCAGACCAGTTGTGTCCATGGTTCTGTGTCTGTTCTGTCACTGGTACCTTTGGTTCAGACCAGTTGTGTCCATGATTCTGTGTCTGTTCTGTCACTGGTACCTTTGGTTCAGACCAGTTGTGTCCATGGTTCTGTGTCTGTTCTGTCACTGGTACCTTTGGTTCAGTCCAGTTGTGTCCATGGTTCTGTGTCTGTTCTGTCACTGGTACCTTTGGTTCAGACCAGTTGTGTCCATGGTTCTGTGTCTGTTCCGTCACTGGTACCTTTGGTTCAGTCCAGTTGTGTCCATGGTTCTGTGTCTGTTCTGTCACTGGTACCTTTGGTTCAGACCAGTTGTGTCCATGGTTCTGTGTCTGTTCTGTAACTGGTACCTTTGGTTCAGACCAGTTGTGTCCATGGTTCTGTGTCTGTTCTGTCACTGGTACCTTTGGTTCAGACCAGTTGTGTCCATGGTTCTGTGTCTGTTCTGTCACTGGTACCTTTGGTTCAGACCAGTTGTGTCTATGGTTCTGTGTCTGTTCCGTCACTGGTACCTTTGGTTCAGACCAGTTGTGTCCATGGTTCTGTGTCTGTTTTGTCACTGGTACCTTTGGTTCAATCCAGTTGTGTCCATGGTTCTGTGTCTGTTCTGTCACTGGTACCTTTGGTTCAGTCCAGTTGTGTCCATGGTTCTGTGTCTGTTCTGTCACTGGTACCTTTGGTTCAGACCAGATGTGTCCATGGTTCTGTGTCTGTTCTGTCACTGGTACCTTTGGTTCAGACCAGTTGTGTCCATAGTTCTGTGTCTGTTCTGTCACTGGTACCTTTGGTTCAGACCAGTTGTGTCCATGGTTCTGTGTCTGTTCTGTAACTGGTACCTTTGGTTCAGACCAGTTGTGTCCATGGTTCTGTGTCTGTTCTGTCAGTGGTACCTTTGGTTCAGACCAGTTGTGTCCATGGTTCTGTGTCTGTTCTGTCACTGGTACCTTTGGTTCAGACCAGTTGTGTCTATGGTTCTGTGTCTGTTCCGTCACTGGTACCTTTGGTTCAGACCAGTTGTGTCCATGGTTCTGTGTCTGTTCTGTCACTGGTACCTTTGGTTCAATCCAGTTGTGTCCATGGTTCTGTGTCTGTTCTGTCACTGGTACCTTTGGTTCAGACCAGTTGTGTCTATGGTTCTGTGTCTGTTCCGTCACTGGTACCTTTGGTTCAGACCAGTTGTGTCCATGGTTCTGTGTCTGTTCTGTCACTGGTACCTTTGGTTCAATCCAGTTGTGTCCATGGTTCTGTGTCTGTTCTGTCACTGGTACCTTTGGTTCAGTCCAGTTGTGTCCATGGTTCTGTGTCTGTTCTGTCACTGGTACCTTTGGTTCAGACCAGTTGTGTCCATGGTTCTGTGTCTGTTCTGTCACTGGTACCTTTGGTTCAGACCAGTTGTGTCCATGGTTCTGTGTCTGTTCTGTCACTGGTACCTTTGGTTCAGACCAGTTGTGTCCATGGTTCTGTGTCTGTTCTGTCACTGGTACCTTTGGTTCAGACCAGTTGTGTCCATGGTTCTGTGTCTGTTCTGTCACTGGTACCTTTGGTTCAGACCAGTTGTGTCCATGGTTCTGTGTCTGTTCTGTCACTGGTACCTTTGGTTCAGACCAGTTGTGTCCATGGTTCTGTGTCTGTTCTGTCACTGGTACCTTTGGTTCAGACCAGTTGTGTCCTTGGTTCTGTGTCTGTTCTGTCACTGGTACCTTTGGTTCAGACCAGTTGTGTCCATGGTTCTGTGTCTGTTCTGTCACTGGTACCTTTAGTTCAGACCAGTTGTGTCCATGGTTCTGTGTCTGTTCTGTCACTGGTACCTTTGGTTCAGACCAGTTGTGTCCATGGTTCTGTGTCTGTTCTGTCACTGGTACCTTTGGTTCAGAGCTCCCTCGGTCGCCGTGGAAACTGCAGACTGCTGTTTAAAGCTGGGGTACCTGACTTTAGAACCACACACATTGAACTTTGTGACAAAATCCATCCAACAAGTTCCATTTATTAATGTTTTATTATTTTTTTGATCATAAATGACAATGGTTACACACACACCCCCATGGTCTAGGTCTTGATGGTATCTCATGACATATAATTAGATGATTATATAAGAAGCCGCAGTAAACACACAGTATTATGTACACACAATAAAAGACACTAAATACAGATAATATAGAAATAGATAATATTGTTTTCACATCTGTGTATGATCCGTGTGTGAATGTGCCATACAAGTGTCGTTGATAAATGAGACAGATTCCATCCACAGCTTTTTCATTCTGAGCCCGAACAGAGAGAAATAAAACAACAGGATCAAAGCTGAACAGAAGGAGGCGTTTACACCCAGAGCATCATGGGAAATATTTACACTGCACTCATTTCTCCTGCTCCCTCTCCTCCTCTCTCCTCTCCTCCTGGTCCGTCTCCTCCTCTCTCCTCTCCTGGTCCGTCTCCTCCTCTCTCCTCTTCTGTGATGACCTCATTCATCAGGATCATGGTCTCATGTGTCTCACTAGCGCCTCTTCTGGACTTAACCTGAAACAACAAGACATCCACAGGTCTTAACCAGGTCTGAACCAGGTCTGAAGCAGGTCTGAACCAGGTCTGAACCAGGTCTGAGCCAGGTCTGAACCAAGTCTGAACCAGTCGCTGTAGCAGAAGCAGTAGCAGTAGTAGCAGCACCTTGTATAAGCAGAAGTTGTTGCAGTAGCAGTAGTAACTTGAAGCGTCCCTTCTCAGGTCTGTCCTGTACATGTGTGTGTCTGGTGTACTGCAGAAGTCTGTCCTGTACATGTGTGTGTCTGGTGTACTGCAGAAGTCTGGCCTGTACATGTGTGTGTCTGGTGTACTGCAGAAGTCTGTCCTGTACATGTGTGTGTCTGGTGTACTGCAGAAGTCTGTCCTGTACATGTGTGTGTCTGGTGTACTGCAGAAGTCTGTCCTGTACATGTGTGTGTCTGGTGTACTGCAGAAGTCTGTCCTGTACATGTGTGTGTCTGGTGTACTGCAGAAGTCTGTCCTGTACATGTGTGTGTCTGGTGTACTGCAGAAGTTCTGTCCTGTACACGTGTGTGGCAAACAAAATGAAACAATGGATAAAACAAATAAACAAAGAAGACGCAAATACACAAAAAAATTAATTAATTGACCTGGCATCCACCTGGTATCCACCTGGTATCCACCTGGTAGATCTGACAAAGGAAAACTAGACCACATTTCTTGAAGCACTGTAGGCACATCCCTGAGCCCAGTCAAAGGACATCAGTGACTTTTTTTAGAAGGTGAGGCCACTTTAAAGAGGCCAAGTCCTGCAGTACCCGGGCCTCCCCCCGGGTCGCTGCCCTCCCTCTGGGCCCTCTCCCCCGGGTCGCTCCCCTCCCTCTGGGCCCTCTCCCCCGGGTTGCTCCCCTCCCTCTGGTCTCTCTCCCCCGGGTCGCTCCCCTCCCTCTGGGCCCTCTCCCCCGGGTCGCTCCCCTTCCTCTGGGCCCTCGCTGCCCTCCCTCTGGGCCCTCTCCCCCGGGTCGCTCCCCTCCCTCTGGGCCCTCTCCCCCGAGTCGCTCCCCTCCCTCTGGGCCCTCTCCCCCGGGTCGCTGCCCTCCCTCTGGGCCCTCTCCCCCGGGTCGCTGCCCTCCCTCTGGGCCCTCTCCCCCGGGTCGCTGCCCTCCCTCTGGGCCCTCTCCCCCGGGTCGCTCCCCTCCCTCTGGGCCCTCTCCCCCGGGTCGCTCCCCTCCCTCTGGTCTCTCTCCCCCGGGTCGCCCCCCTCCCTCTGGTCTCTCTCCCCCGGGTCGCTCCCCTCCCTCTGGGCCCTCTCTCCCCCGGGTCGCTCCCCTCCCTCTGGGCCCTCTCCCCCGGGTCGCTGCCCTCCCTCTGGGCCCTCTCCCCCGGGTCGCTGCCCTCCCTCTGGGCCCTCTGCCCTGGGTCGCTCCCCTCCCTAAGTCCACCTGTTCAGGGAAGCAAGGCGGGATTCTCTGACAATAAGACCAGGCCAGAGTCAAACGTGAGGCATAGCTTTTTTCCTCACTCAATAACTCCGGGCTAGGATATATATATTTTTTAAGTAGTAGTAGTACCTTGTAATAGCAGTAGAAGCAGTAGCGGTAGTAGCAGCAGCAACAGTAGCAGTATTAGTAGTAGTAGTAGTAGTAGTAGTAGCAGCAGCAGTAGTAGTAGTAGTAGTAGCAGTAGTAGTAGTAGTACCTTGTAGTAAAAGTAGCACTGTGGCAGGGTGAACAGGAGGATTATCAGTAGAATAATCAGGAATCTGATGATCAGGTCAGACGTTAAAACTGCAAAAACAGAGAAAACAGGTTTGATCAAGTACAAGTACAAGTTCAAGTACAAGTACAAGTACTTCAAAAGAACCTGGATTCACAAAGAAAACATCACTTCACTAGTATCACAGAGAACGATAAAAAACAGATGTTTTATCCCAAAACAGTTCCTGAGTTTACTTTTAGTGGAAGCCAATAGGAGCCAGAGAGAGTTGGAGCAAAACTTCCTCTCTGAGCACTTCCCTATCGTGCTCATAGACTGTATATATTAACGGACAGAGTCACGCCTATCTCCGCAGTTCTAACTAATGGGCCAAAAAATGTGCTCTACTGGAGCTATCCAAGATGGCCGCGAGTGGTCCCGCCCACAAGAAAATGGTGAAAAAACACATCTGCGCATGCGTCAGCCGGCGCAACTCCATTCATTTGAACGAGAGACTTCAGAAATTCACAGCAAGTAAACTAGAGTGGACCAGAACACCCCCCTCAGCATTGACACACATGTGGAACGGAGCTTTGGGCCAAGAGCCAACTTTTGGTCCATCCTGTAAAGACGTTTTTGAGAGGTCTGCCAACGCTATATGTTAGCATTGGCTAATTCTTCTTCTGGGTCCCCCCCCACAGGCCCGGGGTGGTATTGCAGCATGTCAGCGCACGTCATTTTGGCCACTTTTGAGCTGGGGCCCTCCCCCACTGATCGTGCTTCATTTAGCTAGCAGGTTAGCATTGTAATCATAATCACAGAGACATAGATCACCCAGTATGTGACATCACACACTCTGTCTCCAGTATGTGACATCACACACTCTGTCTCCAGTATGTGACATCATGTGACATCACACACTCTGTCTCCAGTATGTGACATCACACACTCTGTCTCCAGTATGTGACATCACACACTCTGTCTCCAGTATGTGACATCACACACTCTGTCTCCAGTATGTGACATCACACACTCTGTCTCCAGTATGTGACATCACACACTCTGTCTCCAGTATGTGACATCACACACTCTGTCTCCAGTATGTGACATCACACACTCTGTCTCCAGTATGTGACATCACACTCTCTGTCTCCAGTATGTGACATCACACTCTCTGTCTCCAGTATGTGACATCACACACTCTGTCTCCAGTATGTGACATCACACACTCTGTCTCCAGTATGTGACATCACACTCTCTGTCTCCAGTATGTGACATCACACTCTCTGTCTCCAGTATGTGACATCACACTCTCTGTCTCCAGTATGTGGAATCACACACTCTGTCTCCAGTATGTGACATCACACACTCTGTCTGCAGTATGTGACATCACACACTCTGTCTCCAGTATGTGACATCACACACTCTGTCTCCAGTATGTGACATCACACACTCTGTATCCAGTATGTGACTCAGACACTCTGTCTGCAGTATGTGACATCATGTGACATCACACTCTCTGTCTCCAGTATGTGACATCACACACTCTGTCTCCAGTATGTGACATCACACACTCTGTCTCCAGTATGTGACATCATGTGACATCACACTCTCTGTCTGCAGTATGTGACATCATGTGACATCACACTCTCTGTCTGCAGTATGTGACATCACACACTCTGTCTCCAGTATGTGACATCACACACTCTGTCTCCAGTATGTGACATCACACTCTCTGTCTCCAGTATGTGACATCACACTCTCTGTCTCCAGTATGTGACATCACACACTCTGTCTCCAGTATGTGACATCACACACTCTGTCTCCAGTATGTGACATCATGTGACATCACACTCTCTGTCTGCAGTATGTGACATCACACTCTCTGTCTGCAGTATGTGACATCATGTGACATCACACTCTCTGTCTCCAGTATGTGACATCACACACTCTGTCTCCAGTATGTGACATCATGTGACATCACACTCTCTGTCTGCAGTATGTGACATCATGTGACATCACACTCTGTCTCCAGTATGTGACATCACACACTCTGTCTCCAGTATGTGACATCACACACTCTGTCTCCAGTATGTGACATCATGTGACATCACACACTCTGTCTCCAGTATGTGACATCACACACTCTGTCTCCAGTATGTGACATCACACACTCTGTCTCCAGTATGTGACATCACACTCTCTGTCTCCAGTATGTGACATCACACTCTCTGTCTCCAGTATGTGACATCACACTCTCTGTCTCCAGTATGTGACATCACACTCTCTGTCTCCAGTATGTGACATCACACTCTCTGTCTCCAGTATGTGACATCACACTCTCTGTCTGCAGTATGTGACATCATGTGACATCACACTCTCTGTCTCCAGTATGTGACATCATGTGACATCACACTCTCTGTTTCCAGTATGTTACATCACACACTCTGTCTCCAGTATGTGACATCACACTCTCTGTCTCCAGTATGTGACATCACACACTCTGTCTGCAGTATGTGACATCATGTGACATCACACTCTCTGTCTCCAGTATGTGACATCACACACTCTGTCTCCAGTATGTGACATCATGTGACATCACACTCTCTCTCTCCAGTATGTGACATCACACACTCTGTCTGCAGTATGTGACATCATGTGACATCACACTCTCTGTCTCCAGTATGTGACATCACACACTCTGTCTGCAGTATGTGACATCAAACACTCTGTCTCCAGTATGTGACATCACACACTCTGTCTGCAGTATGTGACATCACACACTCTGTCTGCAGTATGTGACATCACACTCTCTGTCTCCAGTATGTGACATCACACACTCTGTCTCCAGTATGTGACATCACACACTCTGTCTCAAGTATGTGACATCACACACTCTGTCTGCAGTATGTGACATCACACACTCTGTCTCCAGTATGTGACATCACACACTCTGTCTCCAGTATGTGACATCACACACTCTGTCTCCAGTATGTGACATCACACACTCTGTCTCCAGTATGTGACATCACACTCTCTGTCTCCAGTATGTGACATCACACACTCTGTCTCCAGTATGTGACATCACACACTCTGTCTCCAGTATGTGACATCACACACTCTGTCTCCAGTATGTGACATCATGTGACATCACACACTCTGTCTCCAGTATGTGACATCACACTCTCTGTCTCCAGTATGTGACATCACACTCTCTGTCTCCAGTATGTGACATCACACACTCTGTCTCCAGTATGTGACATCACACTCTCTGTCTCCAGTATGTGACATCACACTCTGTCTCCAGTATGTGACATCACACTCTCTGTCTCCAGTATGTGACATCACACTCTCTGTCACCAGTATGTGACATCACACTCTCTGTCTCCAGTATGTGACATCATGTGGCATCACACTCTCTGTCTCCAGTATGTGACATCACACTCTCTGTCTCCAGTATGTGACATCACACACTCTGTCTCCAGTATGTGACATCACACACTCTGTCTCCAGTATGTGACATCATGTGACATCACACACTCTGTCTCCAGTATGTGACATCACACTCTGTCTCCAGTATGTGACATCACACACTCTGTCTCCAGTATGTGACATCACACTCTCTGTCTCCAGTATGTGACATCATGTGACATCACACTCTCTGTCTCCAGTATGTGACATCATGTGACATCACACTCTCTGTCTCCAGTATGTGACATCATGTGACATCACACTCTCTGTCTCCAGTATGTGACATCATGTGACATCACACTCTCTGTCTCCAGTATGTGACATCACACACTCTGGCTGTATCTGAATGTCCACACTATACCCTATTCACTCACTCACTATATAGTTCGGGACAATATAGCGACTGAGTGAGTGAGTCAGTGCACTCATTCTGTTGGCGATTCGGACAGCTGCATACTATTTTTAGCCGCGGCCCACATCACACCCCTGTCACATGTCAATGGATCGATATAATTTTATATATAAATAAAAGTATATTAAAATATCCATCCATCCATCCATTTTCTACCCTTTAATCCATTTCTGGGTCAGGGGGGTGGCAGTCAGAGATGCCACCCAAGTCTCATAGCACCAGCCCCTTAAAATATCAATATTTGTCTAATATACATGTATAAAATGTTTTTACAATTTATATTCATATTTATGAATTTTGGTTGACTTATTCGCTTAACGTCTTTCATATTCACGCCACCTGACCGGCTCCTCTACCACTGGTGAAATGGCACCTCCACTGAATTTTGCGGTGTTTTTGTTAACAATTATACAACTTCTCATAATGCGAATTAAAAACCGCCGAACAGAGAGAAGGCGAAGACAGGCGATGAGGGCGAGGAGGAGAATGGCTCTTCTTTCATTAGCAAGGCGTGTGTAAGTATTGTATTCGTCCTTTGTCTATATAGCATTAGCACCATCTACTGGGTAAATTATACTACTTTTGGTGTACTTACTAATTAAAAATACTAGTCTCAGTCAATGAGAAACACATTAGTCATATACATTTAGACATATTTCAACAAGAAAACACATTGTATAGACACACTCACTTAAAATGCAAGAACATTAAAATATTTTATTGGTTGAAAGAACACAAAACCATAGCAAGGGAAATGGATTCAGTACTCATTTTTTTCTAAATGAAAAATGAGTACTTAATCATTAAACAATAATAGAATTTGCTTGGCCATGGGGCACAGGGCTTCTGTGATTTTTTTGTGTGTTATTAGGTGCGAGTGATGTAGGCTGAGGGTTTCTACTTCAGTTGTCTCAGGGCAGCTCCAGCTTCCTGCAACACACAATACATTTGGCAAAATCAATGCCAGGGCACAAAAGAACATGACTTCAGCTATATACTCTTCATTTTTATTTACATTTTTAAATCTCAAAATGAAAAATGAGTACTTATTCCTGTGTCTGCACTCATAACTAAAAGTGCAGATACAGAATTAAAAAATTAATCTAGAAGCATCATATTAAGTTTAAGAGAATTTTTGTTTTGTTTTAGGGTGTACTGCCGACTGAACCACCATGTACCCCTACTCAGCATGTACTTAAATGGCCAGTCTGACCTTCGCCCCGATTTTCGTCTCACTCGAACCACCATCACCCGTCTGGTTAGCCACCTGAGGAGTGCTCATCACCAGGGCTGGAGCCAGGACATGGAGGTTTTGGTCTTCCTCTTTTGGTTGGCCAGTGGCACCGCATACCATGTTGTCGCCAGGGCATTTGACATGCCCCAGTCCACAGTCCACGATGTGATCCACAGGGTGGCCAACCAGATCCTTCAAATGCGTGGCCAAATAATTCATTTCCCTTCCCTGGAGGAACTTCCCCAAGTTGCAGCTGGGTTTCAGTTGCTGGCTGGATCAGCTGCTCTCAATAATGTTGTGGGGAGCATCGACGGCTGCCACATTAGAATAAAGCTCCTTCAAGAAAATGCACAGTGTTATTTTAACAGGAAATTGTTTTATTCCATTCAAATGCAGGCTGTGTGTAATCACCGTGGCTTATTTATTGATTTGTTTGTTGGCTACCCCGGATCTGTGCACGATTCTCGAGTGCTTAAAAACAGCCCCCTCTACGTCCACCGGCTCTATCCCCCAAATGGACACGTCCTCCTTGGTGATGGTGGTTACCCTTGCCTCCGTCAGCCCATCACACTCCTCACTCCATACAGAGAGCCTGTTTGGAGCCCAGTGGAAGCCCGCTTCAACCGGCACCATGCACGGGCACGATCTGTAACAGAAAGAGCGTTTGACATGATGAAGGCAAGATGGCGATCAATTTTTTTCAAGGCACTGGAAGTCCAACCCACCTTTGCAGTCCAGGTGACTGCCTGTTGCACCATCCTGTACAACATCTGCATCAGCGATGGTGATCTCTGGGAGCCAGTGGAAGAGGAGCCAGGGCCTGATGATGAGCAGGACCAGCATCAGCAGCACCAGCCTGATCAGCAGTGTGGACAGGAGCTGCGTGGACAGGAGCTGTGTGGACAGGAGCTGCGTGGACGGATGGCAGCAGCACTTTCCACCCCAAGGGACTATTAATTAAATGTTTGAATAATCTGTGTTTTGGCCTATTTAAATAAAAACAAAAACAATTGAATATGTAAATATCTAAAAAGAAATTGTTGAATGTATGTATAGTTTTCTTTACAAATGTCTAGTTGATTAAAATTTTTTGTATAAATAGTGTTCATCATTGTATGTCGATATGCATATAGTTCAAACTACACTTATCAAAATACATTTTTATCTACTATTTACAACTTCTCTCCAACAAACTCAACAGTCTCTCCTTTCTCTCTTCCTCTCTTCTTCCCCTCTCCTCTTCTCGCTTCTCCCTTTCCTCTTCCTTCTTCTCCACCTTCTCCAAAAAACTAATTCAACTCTCCCTCCTCGGCCTCTTGGCTGCCACACTGCTTTCCTCTTCCTCTACCTCCTCTGGCTGTTCGGGGGCAGGGGGTTGCTCCACAGATGTGGAAACGCCCTCCCCCATGGATGAGGCAATCAGGCAGGGAGGCTGCACGGATGGCCTGCTGCCTATCGCCTCATCCATGAGGGAGTACCACTTCCAGGATATGGCGGTAGGCTCCCCTCCTTCTGTCCCTGTCCGTGGCTGTCTGAGCTCCTTAAAACAGTGAGTTTTGTATAATAAATGCTTCACAAATTAGCTTCAAAGAAACAAACCTTGTAGGTCTTTTTCAGGTTCTCCCACTTATTGGCCGCTCTGGCAGGGCTGATCAGGCGGCTCAGCCCCATTTCCTTTATTACTGCCCTAAAGTAACGATACATAAAAACATTTGAATATGAGTAGACTTTTTTTGAATAAGTATTTATTCATAATGGTCGTACTCCCATCCAGCCGCCGAAGCAAATTTTTCACCCGCAGTCAGATGAGTCTCTCCACATCAGTGTCTGTCCCTTTAAAAAACATTAAACACACAATAAATGCTATACATATAACACAAGTGCTTTAATAACATTAATGACTGACCACCAGTGACCCGTTTCTGTAGCGTTCGCTTTAGATGTTAATGTTATGATATGCAAAAATGCTAACACTTTCGCGGCATAACATTGGTACGTTGTTTTGCAGTAAAAGGCAATGGTATTCAAATGTGTATTTTGGCAGCTTATCGTCAACAATATATCACGGTTTACACATTTACATATTTATGATGATTAAAAACTCACATTTGTAGCTCATGTCCCGCTTCTCTTCCAACCCGTCTCTCTGTGCCTCCGCCATTGTTCTTCCGTATAGTGACCACTGCTGCTCACTACATTTTCGAGATGCATTGTGGGAAAATTCCAGTGCACTACTTTTTCTCTCTGGACATTCGGACACGCCTACAAAATGGCGTGACCACTATATAGTGCACTATATAGGGTATAGTGTGGACATTCGGATACAGCCTCTGTCTCCAGTATGTGACATCATGTGACATCACACTCTCTGTCTGCAGTATGTGACATCACACACTCTGTCTCCAGTATGTGACATCACACTCTCTGTCTCCAGTATGTGACATCACACACTCTGTCTCCAGTATGTGACATCACACACTCTGTCTCCAGTATGTGACATCACACTCTCTGTCTCCAGTATGTGACATCACACTCTCTGTCTCCAGTATGTGACATCACACACTCTGTCTCCAGTATGTGACATCACACACTCTGTCTCCAGTATGTGACATCATGTGACATCACACACTCTGTCTGCAGCAAAAGTCAAAAAAAAGGAGAAAGCAGTTTCCTCTTGGTTTCATGAAGCTTGAGAACTTGAGCAGTAGTAGCAGTGCCAGAAGTATTAGTAGTAATAGTAGTAGTTCTAGTAGCAGCAGTCGTAATAGCAGCAGTTGCAGTAGCAGTAGCAGCAGAAGTAGCAGCAGCAGTAGCAGTAGCAGCAGCAGTAGCAGCAGCAGTAGCAATAGCAGCAGTAGTAGTGGTAGTAGTGGTAGTAGCAGCAGTAGCAGCAGTAGCAGCAGCAGTAGCAGCAGTAGCAGCAGCAGTAGCAGTAGTAGCAGCAGTAGTAGTGGTAGTAGCAGCAGTAGCAGCAGTAGCAGCAGCAGTAGCAGCAGTAGCAGCAGCAGTAGCAGTAGCAGCAGTAGCAACAGTAGCAGTAGCAGCAGTAGCAGTAGTAGCAGTAGCAGTAGCAGTATCTCGTACCTCCCAGCCTCAGCTCCAGTCTCTCGCTCTCGGAGGTGAAGCTGCGGTTGAACACCTGTAGGTGGTAAACACAGGTGTAGTCTCCTTTGTGGGCGGGGCCAGTGTGATTGAACAGGAAGTGTGCAGAGTGATTGACAGCAGGCAGGGTGTGGTTCCCAGAGGGAGAGAGCAGCTGGAAGGAGCCTCCTGGGAACTGAGGCTTCACCGAGCACTGGACCGAGAACTGAGACCCCAACTGCACACGCACCACCTGCACCCCGACCTGGGAGACCTGGACCTGGGAGTCCTGGACCTGGGAGTCCTGGACCTGGGAGTCCTGGACCTGGGAGACCTGGACCTGGGAGACCTGGACCTGGGAGTCCTGGACCTGGGAGTCCTGGACCTGGGAGTCCTGGACCTGGGAGTCCTGGACCTGGGAGTCCTGGACCTGGGAGGCCCCCACAATCACAGAGAGGGACAGGACTGGACGGTTCAGTAAGTCTGCAGAGACAGAGACATCAGCTCCAGCAGAGATTTAAGTTAGACTTTGACTTTTACCTGAACACATCACCTCCACACCAGACGAGGAGAAGAAAGTGTAGTCATAAACACATTCTCTCACTTTAGTCTTCCTCCTCTTCATGCAGTCAGCTGAGATCCCCCACAAAGGACTGACTGGAAAACCATCTCTCTGACGTCCAGAAACAGCAGAGCCACAGTCCAGGTCTCTGCACACAGCAGCTGACTCCTCTTCGGTCCAGTTTCCTCTCTTCCTCATTCGTCTCCACTCTCCTCTGTGTCTGACCTCCACTGTCCCGGCGCAGCGACTGGCCCCTCCCACCAGCCTGAGCGGCTCTGAGCAACACAACAACTCTTAGGACACACAAACATCACACACACATTTGAGAAAACTGTCATTAAATCTGTCATGAACTGGTAGTGGAAGGGTAAATTAGGTACCTCAGCAGCGCTGAAGCTGGACTACGGAGTCTTTGTCTCCTCCGTGTCTTCTCCTGAAGCGCACTCGCTAAATTAAAGCTGGGGTACCTAATTTTCCCTTCCACTACCAGATCATGACAGATTTAATGACATTCTGCATTACAGACAGTTTTAAATTCAGATTCAGTTTATTTGCCATTTGCAGTAAAACCACATTGGAATACATTAGCAAAAGTCCCCAGTGTGCACACACAAATACAGACATAAAACAACATTAAAAGACAGATTTAAAACAAATAAAACAGTAAACAAATGTCACTGTGAAATCGATCGACTAAAACAGTTCAAAACAAGTGCAAATCATTAAAGTGCTCTGTTCACACTGATAACAGCTTGTGGATAAAAACTGTTAGCGTAACGAGATGTCCTGCATCTCAGAGAGCGATATCTTCTGCCAGAGGGAAGAAGCTGGAACATGGCTTTCCCAGGGTGGCCAGAAGAGTCATTGACAATCCTAAGAGCTTTGTTTAAAAGTCTGGATTTGTAAAGAACCTCCAGAACAGGAAGCTCACAGCCCACGGTCCTCTTTGCAGAGCGGAGCACCTTGTTTAAAGCTCTCTTTTCTTTATCTGTGATGTTTCCAAACCACACAGACACAGAACCAACAAGTACACTCTCAATGGTGCAGCCATAAAAGTTAAGCACAATCTTAGAGTTAGTGGTAAATTCTCTAAGTTTACGCAGAAAGTAGAGACGCTGACGAGCTTTCTTAACGACTCGGTCAGTGTTTTTAAAGCCTGGTTCACACGGCAGGATATTTAGGCCGATTTAGACCCGATTTACCCCTTACGACTCTCTTAAGAAACGCTCCGATTTCCGTAACAAAATCTTACAGATTATCCTGCCGTGTGTGGTGTGTTAAGACTGCACTCGTCGCTCGGAAGGACATCGGGACTGCTCCCGATCTCAAATCGGGGATATCCAACATGTTGGATTGTTTTGGCCCGATTTCTGGTCGTGTGTGGTGTCCTCCGAGGACAAGCGAGCGCGTTGCCATGACTACGGCGTGTAGCCAATAAGAAGACGAGGTGACAAGCCGGTGAGGAAACACCGGAAAAAAACCAAAACACAGCAGCATGGCTTTGACCATTGCCTTTTCTTTGGATTACGTCTCTTCTCTGTTAACAACAAACTGCACACTATCGCCACTGCATCCTCTTCGTCCGCCATGACTGTTTACTCTGAAGTCACGCTTGATCTCGAGAGATTTTGTGAGATTTCCGTCTGACCTGGGAATGCGCGGGGGGGGGTGTCGGTTCGTGTGTGATGTTTGTGGCTTGCGTGATCTTGCCGTGTGGCTACGCACCACACACTGCACGACCAAAGTGGTTAGACGCAGGATTTTTAATCTCCCCGTGTGGGGTCTAACACGGAGAAAAATCGGCCGACAATTTTAAAATCGTCTCGTGTGAACCAGGCTTAACCCATTTCAGGTTAGACAGAGTTAAACCCAGAAACTTGCTCCTCTACGATCTGCACCTGGGAGTTGTCGATTACGACAGGCAAATGAGAACTGTTACGACTGAAGTCGTAGACCAGTTCACATGTTTTCGATGCGTTCAACTGGAGGTTGTTAGTTTGACTCCACTGAACCACATTTTGTATCTCTGCTCTATAAGAGCATTCATCAGTGTCACTGATGAGACCGATGATGGTGGTGTCATCAGCATATTTGATGATCAAGTTTGAGTCAGAGGAGGACACACAATCGTGAGTGTACAAAGTAAAAAGCAAAGGACTCAAAATACATCCCTGAGGATAACCAGTGCTCACAGAAACAACATCAGAAAAACAGTCATTGATTTTGTCTCTCATCTGTAACAAACAATAGTTTGGTCTGAGTCTAAACAGAAAGAATGTTAATAATGTTAATGCCATCCATCCATCCATTTTCTTCCCTTTAATCCATTTCTGGGTCAGGGGGGTGGCAGTCAGAGATGCCACCCAAGTCTCATAGCACCAGCCCCTCACTGACCCTCTGCAGGTGGTGAGTCCACAGGAGGACGGCTGCTCTCTGAGTGTGAGCATAGCCTTGATCTTTCAGTGGGGGCTTTGGGCAAAGTGGGGTTAAGTGTCTTGCCCAAGGACACAACGACAGCAGTCATCAGTGGGAGTCGGTGGAGAAGGTGCAGAGGTGGGAATTGAACCCACGACCTTCTGGGCTTAAGGCCAATGCTCTACCAACTGAGCTACTGTCGCCCCCAATGTTAATGCCATTTATATTTATTGTTATAATAAACTAATACACTACATATGTACACTTTTTAACTCGATTAAACATTTTAGTCGTTTGACAGCCCTAATATATGCCAAACAATTCATTTTAAATAGAGTTAATTACAGATTAAAAATGTATTAATCGTAATTAATCACATTTTGAACTATCTGTAAAATGATCATATTGTTCTGTAAATGGTTGTTTGAATGTAAAGATAAATGACCAGATATCGTACATATGAACTGTGTTAGTTTATTATAACAATACATCCATACATATAACGGCATTAACATTATTAACATTCTGTCTTTCTGTAGAAGGATCTTTTCTAAGTTGTATCAAAAGTTGTATTTTAATAATATTAAATTCATATTTACAGTCTATGATTAAAACCCGTAATTGAACTGAAAACTTGAGCTCATTGATTCAGCTGTGAATGAATCAAAAGTCCTGAGTAGAAACTTAGCGTGACGAGGAGCAGAGCTGTTACGAACAGGCCACGCCTCCTTTAGCGTCTACAGCACATGTAAACAAGAGCAGCATGTTAGCATAAGTGGCTAACTCCTCTGGCTGTAACTGCAGACACAACAGTGAGGAAGAGAAGAGGGAACTAACGTGAAAAAATGATCAAAGAAGAAGTCAAGCCTGAGTGAATATACGTAGCGTTAGCTTACATCGTGTCCTCTGGAGACACCTGCGGCAGCGGGACCGCCTCGGCCTAACTTTGGACACAAAACTAGAGGAAATCTTTCAGTTATTGTTCTGTATATTTTGTTAGCTGCGTTGGTACCATTTCATTAGTGATTGTTGTGCAGCTTATAAGTTGTGCTAATGCTAACTAATACCTCCCTGCTCTGTAGCCATCACACACACACATGTGTCCGCGGCACGTGAGTGTTATTATGGGATGCACGGGAGGGTCCTTCGGCACATGCGTCAAATGTGTTCATTCTTTAACACGATCAATGAAAATATTTAATTAACGTGCGTTAACGTGATAATTTTGACAGCCCTAATAAATATATGAATAAAAAAACCTATTTATATCTAAATATACAAAATGAATATATATATATGTAAATATAAATGACTGTTTTACATATGTATACATACATGCATGTATATATAAATGTGTATATGTATAAATAGATAAATATATATTAGGGCTGTCAAAATTATCGCGTTAACGCAGGTTAATTAAATGTTTTTCACCGACACTTTCAGAAACTGAAAAGAGTCGTTCCAAACTTTAGACACAATGATCTTCATAAAATGCAGATGTGAAGGAAATAATATCAGACAATTATTACATTTGTTTTGATGTTATGAAAAAGAAAATCATTTGTTACATTTTCATCTGATTTATAAAAATAATGTGATCGGAGTTATTTTAAATGTGTGTTGAAGTTTTTAATGTCTTTGATGTTGGCTCCTCCTTAATGAACTGTAACATACTTTATACTGACACAGATGTAAAAGAATCCATAATAACCACATCTGTGACTCTGGGACCAGAACAATGGAGCAAAACAAGGCTGTCCATTTTCAACATGTCTTTTTTAATCATCTCCATAAAAGTAAGATCCAGTGAAACAGAGAAGGATCTATGACATTTATCAACTTTTATTTTTTTATTTATCGGCCTCTGCTCCTTATGGACCAATGGCTCCATGTGTTTTATCACTGCTTTTCTTGTATTTGAACTAATAATAATAATCAATCAATCAATCAATCAATCTTTATTTATAGGGCGCTTTTCCTGCACAGGGCAACACAAAGCGCCTCACAGTCCACACCACACAATGCACAAATCATCACCATTAAAATACAATTAAAAAACACATATGTAATTAAAAAGCATTAAAATCACATAAGTAATTTAAAAACATAAGAATCACACAAGTAATTAAAAACAATAAAATAGTTAAAAACACAAAAAGTTACAACAATAAATAACAAGGTGTGTTAAAAAGATAAAATTCTCTAGTTGTATGCACGGGAAAAAAGAAAAGTCTTTAACATGGATTTGAACATTGACAGAGAGGCAGCCAGTCTCACATCCTCAGGAAGACTGTTCCAGACTTTAGCTGCATAAATCTGAAAAGCAGCCTCCCCCTGTCTAGTCCTGACTCTGGGCACTAACAGGAGTCCCGTCCCTGCGCTCCTCAGAGTCCGGGCTGGTTCATATGGGACTAGCATATCATGGATGTACTTTGGTGCAAGGCCATGGAGAGACTTGTACACCAGGAGAGCTGCTTTAAAGTCTATCCTCTGGGCCACGGGAAGCCAGTGCAGAGACCCGAGGACCGGACTAATGTGGTCGTACTTCCTGGTTCTAGTCAGGACTCGGGCTGCAGCATTTTGAATATACTGCAGCTGTTTTACTGCATGTTTGGAGATACCTGTGAGCAGGCCATTGCAGTAATCCAGCCTACTGGAAACAAAAGAATGGATAAGAATCTCCAAGTCTGCCCTGGACACAATATTTTTAATTTTGGCAATATTTTTCAGATGATAAAAAGCTGCTGATGTTACCGATCCAATGTGGCTATTGAAGTTTAAGTCAGAGTCCATTATTACTCCCAGATTTCTGACCTTATTTAAAGGCCTTAGGGAGAGAGACTGAAGGTGACAAATGACGGTCTCTCTTTGTTTCTCGGGACCAAAGACAATCATTTCGGTTTTGTCCGCATTTAGCTGGAGAAAATTGCATTGCATCCACTCACTGATCCGCTGGATACAGCGAAGGAGTGAGTCCACCGGTCCATGCTCTCCTGCAGTCAGTGAGACATAGATCTGAGTGTCATCAGCGTAATTGTGGTAGGACACTTTCATACTTTGAATTAACTGACCTAATGGCAGCATGTAAATATTGAACAGGAGAGGTCCCAGAATCGACCCCTGTGGCACTCCGCAGGTCAGGGCCATATTATCTGAGACATAGTCTCCAATCTCCACACAATACTTCCTTTCTTCTAGATAGGACCTAAACCAGCTTAGGGCGGTACCAGCAACACCAACCCAGTCCTCCAGTCTCTGCATGAGAATCTCATGGTCAACGGTGTCGAAAGCGGCACTCAGATCTAACATGACTAAAACAGAGACTTTTCCTGCATCAGTGTTAAGCCGAATATCATTTGTTACCTTGACTAGAGCGGTCTCAGTACTGTGGTGTGGTCTAAAGCCAGACTGAAACATGTCAAATGAGTCATTAGATATATAAAATTCAGTAAGTTGTTGGTAGGCAACTTTTTCAAGAATTTTTCCCATGAAAGGCAGATTTGAGATGGGACGGTAATTTTCAAGTACCGCAGCATCCAAACTGCTCTTTTTTAGGAGGGGCCTAATGACTGCCTTTTTCAGGGCCATTGGAAATGTTCCAGATAAAAAAGACATGTTTACTATTTGTGTCAATGAGGGTAATAGACTACACATAACAGACTTCAGAAATCTAGGAGGTAGTACATCCAGACTGCAGGTAGAGGAACTAAGACCTGTGATTATCTTTTTAACAGTTTCATTATTGACAGGTGCAAATTGAGCTAGCTCACAAAGCCTCACTGGATGTTGCATTGTTACTTGTGTTGTGGAGGTGATGGCATTTCTGATACCCTGAACCTTGTCTCTGAAGAACTGTGCAAACTCATTACACCTGGATTTGGAGTAGTGTTCTAATGGCAACTCAACAGGGGGGTTCGTTAATCTATTGATTGTTGAAAATAGAACACGCAGATTGTTGCTGCAGCCTTCAATAGTTTCAGAAAAGTATAATTCTCTTGTTCTACGTAGTACTCTGTTAAACTCACACAACTTCTCTTTTAAGAGTCTATAATCACCCTGGAGGTTGGACTTTCTCCACTTTCTCTCTGCTCTCCGGCACTCTTGCTTCTGTGCCCTGACCGGGCCTGCTTTTATCCATGGGGCTTTTTGCTTATTTGTGACCATTTTTACCTTCACAGGGGCAATGGCGTCCAGAACATTCAACACACTAGAGGTGACAGAGTTAAACAGTTCATCTACAGTAGAACATGATGTGTTCTCAAAATGGATCATTCCCATAAATAGTTCACCCGTGTTTTCATTTAAGTGTCTACTTCTAACAATTTCATATTTAGCGGGTGGTCTGGTAGCAAAACACATGTTAAAAAATACACAGAAATGATCCGACAGAGCAACATCAACTACATTAACTTTTGAAATATTCACCCCTTTCGTGATAAGCAGGTCCAAGGTGTGTCCTCTGCTATGGGTGGGGCCACTCACATGCTGAGTGAGGCCAAAGGATTCAAGTATGGAACTCAGCTCTTTTGCGTATCTGTCATTAACATTATCCACATGAATATTAAAATCGCCTATAATGACTAAACCATCAAAATCTGTGCACACAACTGAAAGCAACTCAGTGAAATGATCAGTGAAACTATGGCATGACTGTGGCGGCTTGTACACAACAATAATAAGAATGGAAGAAGATTTCTTTTGTTCTATTTTAAAAGAAACATACTCAAATGATGAAAATTTCCCAAGAGACACTCTATGGGAGACAATACGATCTTTAAAAACTGCTGCTATGCCCCCCCCCCTTTTATTTTCTCGTGTTTCATATTCAAATTTGAAATTTGGTGGTGAGGCTTCTATTAAAACTGCATCTCCTGTATTATGGTCAAGCCATGTTTCAGTCATAAACATAAAATCAAGATCATACGAACAGATAAAATTATTAATTAAAAATGATTTGTTGCATAGTGATCTGACATTAAGTAGAGCAAGGTTAAAATTAATATCAGTGTCAGTGGGTTTAGTTGATTGATTACAAAGAACTGGAATTAGATTTCCAGAGTTGGACCGTCTAACTGCTGTCCTTCTTTTAAATTTGTGTTTATTCAAGTTAAAACACATTTCTGAGCTGGTGCGAGGAACACACACAGTCTCTATTGGTTTAAAAAGTGAACTCTGTTGTACTTTGTTAAGTTCCAGATGCATAACTGAGTCAGCACAGTTCAGTGGCAGGACTGTCGTTACACTGCCAGACGGACAGGGGTCAGTGTTTGCACCACAGTACTCACCCGGTGCTGGTAAGGAAGAGGAGGGGGGTGGTGGGGGCCGAGAAGCCTCAGATGTAAACAGTCACGCCCCCCTCGGGGAGCACTGAACAACATGGCGCAGGAAGTCCGTCAACAAACTGGTGCCGTATCTGTTCGGGTGCAGACCATCTGGACGATAGGCCACGTGACGCTTCCAGAACAGGCCAAAGTTGTTCACAAAAATAAAGTTAAAAGTGCTGCATGTAGACTGGAGCCACATGTTGAGCGCCACAACGCGACTGTACAAGCAGTCTCCCCGGTTTACAGTCGGGACTGGACCAGAGATAAAAACACACAACCCGGAGGACTGGAGAAGGCGGAACAGATTCATAAAGTGCTTCTTTGTGACCTCTGACTGCTGCAGCTTCATAATAATAATGATAATAATGATAATGATAATGATAATATAATGATAATAATAAGAATAAGAATAATGATAATAATAATAATAATAATAAAATAATAATAATAATAATAAAAATAATAATGATAACAATGATAATAATAATAATGATAATAATAATAATGACAATAATAATAATAATGATCAAAATAATAATGATACAAATAATAATATAATAATAATAATGATAATAATGATAATGATAATGATAATGTAACCCATTAAATATAATATAAATATTTTTTATTTATAATATAAATATTATCACATATCAAATATAATGTATTTTTATTATGTATTATTATTATTATCAAAACTAAATGGTGCTAAATTTCCATTGGGTCTGGCGCCGGCTCCAGGGAGTTTGGGATCACGTGGGTCATGTGACTTGGGGTTTTAAAGATGGCAGGTCGCTTGTACAGGGAGGCATGGGGGAGGCTGCGTTTAGGGCTGCAGCAGTAGTCTACGCGATCGAGTCTTTTCTTTAATGTGATATCGAGTCAAATCGAATCACTATTGATGGCGAGCTGAGCCCAGACAAGAACTACTGCTGCAAGTACCCCACCAATGCGGTAGGAGATCGGCCCTTTACCCCCATGCACTCTGGTTCATATGAACTCTTGAGCAATACAAGCTCAATGGACACACTTTTACAGTAGCCCTGGCTATTGTTTGGACCTTGGGAAGTTGAGTTGGGTTTGGGGTTTTGTTTCTTTGGACTTGTGACCGAATGAAATGAAGAATTCTAATCTGCGCAGCGTTGTATTTGAGAATTTGAGATGTCATGACTGTAAATATATAATAATACACAAACTTGCAAACTAGAGCCACTGTTTATTGATTACTGACTCACCTCCCAGAGCGAACTCTAGATCTTCAGTCTTAGCCTACAGACTCTTTTATTACTACCATTCCACTGTATATATGGGATAGGGGTTACAATAATAAATAATAATAATAATGCATCAGTTTTATAAACAGCACTTTTCAGGACACTCAAATATGCTTCACATGTTATTATTACTATTACTGTAGCCACAGCTGCCCTGGGGCACACTGACAGAAGCGAGGCAACCAGTCTGTACACACACACACACACACACACACACACACACACACACACACACACACACACACAGACACACACACAGACACAGACACAGACACACAGACACAGACACACAGACACACAGACACACACACACACAGACACAGACACAGACACAGACACACACACACAGACACACACAGACACACACAGACACACACACACACACACACACACACACACACACACACACACACACACACAGACACACACACACACACACACACACACAGACACACAGACACACACAGACACACACACACACACACACACACACACACACACACACACACAGACACACACACACACACACACACACACACACACACACACACACACACACACACACACACACACACACACACACACACACACACACACACACACACACACACACACAGACACACCAGACTCATCCTGATCAATTGAATTAAACTGAATTACAGATAGTAAACTTCTAAGATCTCAGTGTTTACAGATGACTCCAGGTCAAACCTAAACTCTGCAGCCTCCACTCTTTAGTAAAACTTTTAATGTTCTCTCACTTTTCAGGTTTCAAATGAAACTACGGTAAGTGTAAAGTAAGTAAGTAAGTAAGCTTTATTTATATACCGCCTTTCACAGACCAGAGTCACAAAGCGGTTTACAATTGTTCTTTTTTGGGCACTTGTCTCTCACTCCACACAGAGATGGGAGCGGGGTCGCCGAACAGGAGGCGCATGCCAGACCTATTGTACATATTTTTAGTGGTAGGGGAAACCGGAGTACCCGGAGGAAACCTACGCAGACACGGGGAGAACATGCAAACTCCACTCAGAAAGGCCCTGGTCCGGCCGGGATTCGAACCCAGGACCTTCTTGCTGAGAGGCGAGAGTGCTATCCACTCAGCCACCGTGCCGCCCTAAAGTGTCAGGATTGGAAGTATTCTGAAAGAACTTTTAATACAGTGTAGATTACCTTTGGAACAGACACATGGATCTGGAAATATCCTCGGAATCAAAAAACTAAAACAAGAGGAAAGACGTTGCAACCTTGGAAGAGCACAACTCTAACTTTATATAACAAATAGAATTCATAAATACAATATTTCTGCCTCATTCTGTGCATTTATTAAAGTCTCTCCCAACTCAGAGCTTCTCTAAGTATTACGAACAAAACATATTTCTATTTATCTGGAATTAAAAACAAGTATCATTCTATTACTACATTTAGAAGCTCTGTGTTTTTGATAAAAGTCTCATTAGTTTAAAAATGTACAAAAACACAAAGTTACTGAAATAAATCATTTCATATTCTCAAAAGAGGTGTTTTTGTTTTACTTATTTAACCAAATCAAATATGGTTCAAAGTTCCTAAAAGAATCTGGAGAGTTGGTTTTGTTTCAGATAAACTGCTGAAAGTGTTTTGCAGCAGATCATATCAACTCTGATGTTCTCACTGATGGAAAGCCCTGACTCTGAGAGAAGTATTCATCAACCATATTGTTATTAGAATATATTCATCAACCATATTGTTATTAGAATATATTCATCAACCATATTGTTATTAGAATATATTCATCAACCATGTTGTTATTAGAATATATTCATCAACCATATTGTTATTAGAATATATTCATCAACCATATTGTTATTAGAATATATTCATCAACCATATTGTTAAGAAGGACATTTATTAGAATATTCTCAGAGAATTAAAAACTAATATAAATATCAGTTCTCACAGGTGTGTAACTGATTATCTGGGGTCTTGTGGAATAAATGGAAACTCATAAATAATACTGAAAAATATTTGTTTAGACTTTAACACTTCACTGAACAGAAGTTTGTCACACCTCACAGACTCACAAACCAGATTCTTTACAATCAAAATTCTAAATAATGTTATCCACAAAAAGATGCTCAAGATTTGGGGTCTGCAGGAATCAGACTCATGCGGCTTCTGCCAAACAGGTGTTGAATCATCTGAGACTGATTCTGGTTCTGTCCTGTGGGGGCAGCATTTTGGGTTAATAGGTTTAAAATAATACAAATATAGACATTTAAACTGAATATTAAGTCATGTCTTTTGTCAATATCATTAGGGTTCTTTGGAGACTTATAACATAAAGAAACTGTTTCACTTTTGATATTTAAGTCAAGTGAGAAATATTTAAATACTGTGAGCGTCTTTATTATGTTCAACACTTTCACAATTTAGCAGAATGTTCAGTTGAAACAGAGCAAGAAAAGCTCCAAAAAAGGTGAAGATTCTTGATGCCTTCTCTTTGGAAAAACGTCTGATTATTATTCTTCTTATTTGTTTTCTCTCCTTGCTTTAGGATTTTGTTATGCTTTCATGGATTGATTGATTTACATTGTCCTAAAGCCCCGCCCACCTTAGCCCCGCCCCTCAAATAAGCCCCGCCCCTCACCTGAGCAGATGACGTCCTCACTGGGTCCAGAGGGACAGGTCTTGGGTCTGGAGCGGGGACAGTCCATCAGAGCAGACTCATGGCCCTCACAGTGGAACGTCTGCCCCAGAGAAGAGAGCTCCCCCTGGAGGACAGAAGGACCCCTGCAGCCCAGCTCCCTGCACAGCACCTCTGCTCCCCGCAGGTCCAAGGCCCCTTCACAGACCGAGATCCAGGACTGGTCCCATATCTGCAGTGATCCAGAGCAGAGACCAGAGCCTCCAACCAGCCGCACAGAGTCTGAGACAGAGAGGACTTCATCACACTCTGGACACAGAGTCTGAGACACAGAGGTCTTCATCACACTCTGGACACAGAGTCTGAGACAGAGAGGTCTTCATCACACTCTGGACACAGAGTCTGAGACAGAGAGGTCTTCATCACACTCTGACACAGAGTCTGAGACACAGAGGTCTTCATCACACTCTGGACACAGAGTCTGAGACAGAGAGGTCTTCATCACACTCTGGACACAGAGTCTGAGACAGAGAGGTCTTCATCACACTCTGAACACAGAGTCTGAGACACAGAGGTCTTCATCACACTCTGGACACAGAGTCTGAGACAGAGAGGACTTCGTCACACTCTGGACACAGAGTCTGAGACAGAGAGGTCTTCATCACACTCTGGACACAGAGTCTGAGACAGAGAGGACTTCGTCACACTCTGGACACAGAGTCTGAGACAGAGAGGTCTTCATCACACTCTGGACACAGAGTCTGAGACACAGAGGTCTTCGTCACACTCTGGACACAGAGTCTGAGACAGAGAGGACTTCATCACACTCTGGACACAGAGTCTGAGACAGAGAGGACTTCATCACACTCTGGACACAGAGTCTGAGACAGAGAGGACTTCATCACACTCTGGACACAGAGTCTGAGACAGATCTCATAAAGACTCAGAGAAAGTATCAGTTTCAGCTGCTGCCTCCTCAGAAGAGTCTCGTGATGTTGTTGTGACGTGTTGCTGACTCACAGAACACACTTATGGTGCTGCTCAGGGCTGCACACTTATTGTGTGGAGGTGTTTAACTCCTGGAGAGTAGAAAGGGTTCTATGAGGGCAGTACAGAAACAGTACGGCACAACTGCAAATCTACCAAGACTCTGCTGATCGAGGACAACACTGATCACAGATGCACACACGAGGCCCATGGTTACTGTGGAGGAGCTGCAGACATCCACAGCTCACCTGGAGGAATCTGTACATGGGACAAATATTAGTCCTACACTTCACAGATGTGGTCTTTACAGACAAAGTGTTTACATAAAAACACAAGAAACAAAGACGGACACATCCAACATGTGGAAGAAGGAGCTGTGCTCAGATGAACCATCTGTATCGTCGACGATACCTGCGCACATGTTTTACTAATGATCAATTTACTTGCGAACGATAACATGTAGCAACTTACTTTTTTTTCCTCTGTGAAGTACATATTCAGGGCTGATTTGTCTGTGCGATGCACGGAGGATAAATTACGTTTGTCTGAAAGTCCGTGTCCAATTGGATGTTAGCGGTGACCCGTGAGGTACAAACAGCTGTGAGATACAAACACACGGGGACTGCCAAAGATCGTCAGAGAGGGAGATGTCTCACTCCTCTGTGTGCACTTGTTGTCCCACAGTTGAAACTACAGCTGCGATTGCAAAGGGCTATATGCACCGGGAGGCGTAATGTCATTTCCTGTTAACAAAACACAGCCCGTTTACTTCCTGCCTGTGCTATCCTATGGCTTTTAGGTGAGTTTTAGTGACGTTTTTTAGTAATTAGATTGATACATTCAGCTGAGATTGACCCAAAAGTGTCGCTGTGCTTTCTCTCTGAGGTAGAGCTGTGACTGTGGCCACTCAGAGAGATTTGTAAACTTTATAAACACACAATGACAGCACAATCAAAGAGCACTGCTGTGTCCCAAAAATGCCCAGTATCCTCACAGTTTAATTCCCGTTTGAGCATTATTTGGGAAACCTGTGTAAACCACTGCTGAACTCCAGAGAAACTCAAGCTGTTTCCCGCGAACAGGAAGTGAGGTGGGGCTTTAGCTAAAACGCGGAAGTGGTGCGTGCATAGAGCCTATTACCGGCTGAAGAGTGCGCATTATTGATAAAGACGATAATAAATACAGTAAAATGACGTTATGTGTATAGGATGTAAAGTGCCTTGCGAAAGTATTCAACATTTTGCCACATTTCAAGCTTCAAACATAAAGATATAAAATTTTAATTTTTTGTCATGAATCAACAACAAGTAAGACACAATCGTGAAGTGGAACAAAATTTATTGGATAATTTAAACTTTTTTAACAAATAAAAAACTGAAAAGTGGGGCGTGCAATATTATTGGGCCCCTTTACTTTCAGTGCAGCAAACTCAGTCCAGAAGTTCAGTGAGGATCTTTGAATGATCCAATGTTATCCTAAATGACTGATGATGATAAATAGAATGCACCTGTGTGTAATCAAGTCTCCGTATAAATGCACCTGCTCTTTGATAGTCTCAGGGTTCTGCTTAAAGCGCAGAGAGAACCATGAAGACTAAGGAACACACCAGGCAGGTCCGAGATACTGTTGTGGAGAAGTTTAAAGGATTTTTGATACAAAAAGATTTCCCAAGCTTTAAACATCTCAAGGAGCACTGTGCAAGCAATTATATTGAAATGGAAGGAGTATCGGACCACTGCAAATCTACCAAGACCCGGCCGTCCCTCCAAACTTTCATCTAAAACAAGGAGAAGACTGATCAGAGATGCAGCCAAGAGGCCCATGATCACTCTGGATGAACTGCAGATAACTACAGCTGAGGTGGGAGAGTCTGTCCATAGGACAACAATCAGTCGTGCACTGCACAAATCTGGCCTTTATGGAAGAGTGGCAAGAAGAAAGCCATTTCTCAAAGATATCCATAAAAAGTCTGGTTTAAAGTTTGCCACAAGCCACCTGGGAGACACACCAAACATGTGGAAGAAGGTGCTCTGGTCAGATGAAACCAAAATCAAACTTTTTGGCCACAATGCAAAACGATATGTTTGGCGTAAAAGCAACACAGCTCATCACCCTGAACACACCATCCCCACTGTCAAACATGGTGGTGGCAGCATCATGGTTTGGGCCTGCTTTTCTTCAGCAGGGACAGGGAAGATGGCTAAAATTGATGTGAAGATGGATGGAGCCAAATACAGGACCATTCTGGAAGAAAACCTGTTGGAGTCTGCACCCAAACGACTTGCAGCTGTAATTGCAACAAAAGGTGGCGCTACAAAGTATTAGCGCAAGGGGGCCGAATAATATTGCACGCCCCACTTTTCAGTTTTTTATTTGTTAAAAAAGTTTAAATTATCCAATAAATTTTGTTCCACTTCACGATTGTGTCCCACTTGTTATTGATTCTTGAAAAAACATTTAATTTTTATATCTTTATGTTTGAAGCCTGAAATGTGGCGAAATGTTGAAAGGTTCAAGGGGGCCGAATACTTTCGCAAGGCACTGTAAATAAATACATGTATCAGATGTTTTTTTTGTCTTTTTTTGTCTTAGTTTCTTATGTTTTACGTTTTTTACAGCTGTGCTACAGAAGCAACCCCAGCATCACAGACAAACTGCTTCAGGAAGGGCTTCAGGAGTACAGCGTTTTTGGCTTTTATAGTGGAATTATGTAAAATAAAAAGTACAATAGTTAGAGATGCCTTTTTTCCCCATTATCTCCATGACCCAAATAAAATTTCTGTGCAGTGTAAAAAGTAGTTCATAGCATTTCATTGTGTTTTTTCTGTCACAAGATGGAAATGCAGGAAGGACCCAATCGCAGGAATGCAAAAAGTAATTATTTAATAAAATAAAGTCCAAGGTGATGATCACAAAACTCAAGAATCCAAGGGGAACAGCAACAGGACAGAACTTGACATGACAACACAATGAACCGTAGCAACAAGGGGAGAGGAGCACAGGGTACACACAGGGTACACACAGACACACACAGACACAGGTGAAACACATCAGGGCGGGGCAGACAATCAACAGAGAACAAGACAGGAAGCAAAACTGAAATTAAACCCAAAGAACCAATGTCAAAAAGAAAACAAAATACAGAAATAAAATCCACACCATGACATTTTCAATACATTTTTGTTAAGTTGATTTTCCGTTTGATTTTTTTCGTTTGAAGTTTTATATAATTCATATGACAGCTTTACAATATGAATATTCTAAAACCCCAGGTTGTACTGAAAAAAACAAAGTCTACTGCTTGACTCTGCCTCAAAACACTGTTTTATGAACAATTATACACAAAGAAAACCAGGCGAGGAAGGATCCCCAAAACGACCCATGTGTTTAGAGGATTAAGACTAACTCCTGGGTCTACAGCCTCAGTCCTGGGTCTACAGCCTCAGTCCTGGGTCTACAGCCTCAGCCCTGGGTCTACAGCCTCAGTCCTGGGTCTAGAGCCTCAGTCCTGGGTCTACAGCCTCAGTCCTGGGTCTACAGCCTCAGTCCTGGGTCTAGAGCCTCAGTCCTGGGTCTACAGCCTCAGCCCTGGGTCTACAGCCTCAGCCCTGGGTCTACAGCCTCAGCCCTGGGTCTACAGCCTCAGTCCTGGGTCTACAACCTCAGTCCTGGGTCTACAGCCTCAGTCCTGGGTCTACAGCCTCAGCCCTGGGTCTACAGCCTCAGCCCTGGGTCTACAGCCTCAGTCCTGGATCTAAAGCCTCAGTCCAGGATCTACAACATCAGTCCTGGGTCTACAGCCTCAGTCCAGCCTCAGTCCTGGGTCTACAGCCTCAGTCCTGGGTCTACAGCCTCAGTCCTGGGTCTACAGCCTCAGTCCTGGGTCTACAGCCTCAGTCCTGGGTCTACAGCCTCAGTCCTGGGTCTACAGCCTCAGTCCAGCCTCAGTCCTGGATCTACAACATCAGTCCTGGGTCTACAGCCTCAGTCCTGGGTCTACAGCCTCAGTCCTGGGTCTACAGCCTCAGTCCTGGGTCTACAGCCTCAGTCCTGGATCTACAGCCTCAGTCCTGGATCTACAGCCTCAGTCCTGGGTAGAGCTGCAACTAACGATTATTTTGTAATCGATTAATCTATCGATTATTTTTACGATTAATCGAGTAATCGCTTGGCTGTGAATTGTGTAGAAAAAAAAAAAAATAAGTAAATTTTTGTAACAGGCTCTTTGTGCTAATTCTGCTCTGATTGGATGAGACACAGATATTCATGAAATTATAAAACAAAGTCGGTTTTAATCAAAAATACTACATTTTCATGTCATTTTTGCTCTGTTTGAGTCCATGTGAACCAGAAAACGATTAATTGATTACTAAAATAGTTGTCGACTATTTCAATAATCGATTAGCCGTCGATTAATCGATTAGTTGTTTCAGCCCTAGTCCTGGGTCTATACCCTCAGTCCTGGGTCTACAGCCTCAGTCCTGGGTCTACAGCCTCAGTCCTGGATCTATAGCCTCAGTCCTGGGTCTACAGCCTCAGTCCTGGGTCTACAGCCTCAGTCCTGGGTCTAAAGCCTCAGTCCTGGGTCTACAGCCTCAGTCCTGGATCTATAGCCTCAGTCCTGGGTCTACAGCCTCAGTCCTGGATCTACAACCTCAGTCCTGGGTCTACAGCCTCAGTCCTGGGTCTACAGCCTCAGCCCTGGGTCTACTGCTGGTTTGGAGCATTTTAACCTCTGTCTTTTAAGAGTTATTCTAAAAACCCACGCTTTTAACATTTTTTTAATCAAGCGAATCGGTTGGATTACGCGCCTTTTAACAGCTGTGCCCTAAAAGGATTATTGTCACTCTCCCTTGAACTTTTTATTCACGTCTGAATCTGCTGGTAGCAAGCCGGCTAGCAAGCCGGCTAACTTCCGTATACCGTAACCATGGACACAACACAACCCACTAACATTTACAAAAAAATCTATAAGTCACAACTCACTTCATCCAGCTCCCTAATCAAAAAAAACGGTACATATC